GTAGGCGCTGGTTCTTGATCGTCTCCGGTATCATCCATACCGTTGATGTCTTCGGAGTCGTAGTTTAGCACGTCGGTTAGATCGTCGACGGTGGCTATGAAGTGGGTGGTGGGTGGGTTCTGAATTTCTTCATTGTCCGCGTCCCGACCATCCTGGCCGTAGTTCGGCCAGGGCTCTCCGGATAGTGAGAGGTGCTTCAGCGAATTTAAGATACCGCCGAAGGGTGAGTGCTGAAAGGTGTCCGCAGCGGTGAATTCCACGATCGGCGCCCAATCGGGTTCGACTAGCAGGGGCGCAGGAGGTTCGGAGTCCGGCAGGGGGTCCGACACCTAGGAGTCATGGGCTTTATGCGGGACAAGATAAGTGTTCGGCTCCATCGCCGTAGAAGTTGCAGCTCCCGAGGCGGTGTCCAGCCATCCGTCCTCGATCTGAGCGATCGGCTCTGGACTATGGGTCGGAGCGGATTCGTGTGCGGCCTCCAAGGTGCTGTCCGGCGGCAGAGTTAGGTCATGCCCATCATGACAGCGCGGCACGCTCGGCTGTGGCTCAGATCCATCGAAGATCAAGTCCCCGCGGATATCGGCCGTGAAGTTTAGGCTTCCAAGCCTGACCTGACGGCCAGGGGCGTAGCTTTTGATCTGCTCCAGATGGCCAAGTGAGTTGGCCCGCAGTGCGAAACTGCCGAATACGAAGATCTGTCCGAGGAGAAAAGTCTCACCCAGGACTGCGTCGTTGTCGATTGAAGAGGCCATCAAGCCTATCGGTGACGACACAGAGGAACTCTCAATGAAAGCACCAATGTCGGTGTCAAAACCGGCGGATCTCGGGTAGGGGGTCCCGAACTGTGCGTCTAGGCGGATGGTAACAGGAGACAAGGGACACGATGTTTTACCCAGGTTCGGGCCCTCTTGATGGAGGTAAAACCCTACGTCCTGCTTGATTGATATTGATATTGTGGATGTTTACAAGAGTGGATCTACCACGAGATCAAGGAGGCTAAACCCTAGAAGCTAGCCTATGGTATGATTGTAATGGTTGTTGTTGTGTCCTACGGACTAGAGCCATCCGGTTTATATAGACACCGGAGAGGGCTAGGGTTACATAGAGTCGGTTACAATGGTAGGAGATCTACATATCCGTATCGCCAAGCTTGCCTTCCACGCCAAGGAAAGTCCCATCCGGACACGGGGCGAGGTCTTCAATCTTGTATCTTCATAGTCTTGGAGTCCGGTCGATGATGATAGTCCGGCCGGTGATAGTTCGGCTGATGATGGTAGTTCGGCTGATGATGGTAGTCCGGCTATCCGGACACCCCCTAATCCAGGACTCCCTCAATGGTCTTCAGAAGCAAGAACCAGCTAGTCAAAGCTTTGAAGAGAGATGGCCTAGTGACAAAAAGAAGCATTGTGTTCCAAAAGTCAGAGATAAATAGAGTTAGAGCCAAGTGTGGATGGCCTGGATGCCCTTGGATGATATATGCAGCAAAAACCAGTAGGACAAGCAGATTCCAAGTGATCACATATAATGATGAACATCACTGTGCCCAAAATAGAGAGAATAGGCTAGTGACTGCAAAGGTTATTGCACAGAGGTATGAGCACTTCATTCTTGCAAATCCAATGTGGAAGATAGAGAGTATGAAAGCAACAATATTGCAAGATATGTTTGCAGATGTGTCCACCTCAAAGTGCAAGCATGCAAAGAAGCTTGTGATGGATAAATTGCTATGTGGCATGAAGAATGAATATACCAGAGTGTTTGATTATCAGCTTGAGCTTCTTAGAAGTAATCCTGGAAGTACAGTGGCAGTTTGTTTGGATCCAACTGACAAGATCAACAATGTATTTCAGAGCTTTTATGTTTGCTTTAATGCATTGAAGAAAGGATTCAAAGCTGGCTGCAGAAAAGTGATAGGATTAGATGGTTGTTTCTTTAAAGGGGCTGTGAAGGGGGAGCTGTTGTGTGCTATAGCTAGGGATGCAAATAATCAAATGTATCCACTGGCTTGGGCAGTAGTTGAGCAGGAAACAAATGAGACATGGAAATGGTTCATTGGTTTGCTCATTAAGGATTTGAACATTAACAACAATGGAGATGGCTGGGTGTTCATATTTGACCAGCAAAAGGGAATTCTCAATGCCATGAATGACTATCTTCCAAAAGCAGAGCACATGATGTGTGCTAGGCACATCTATGCCAACTGGAGGAAGAAACACAGGGCACATGAGTGGCGGAAGAAATTCTGGGCTGTTGCCAAAGCAGCAAACATCCAAGATTTCAATTATTATAAAGCCAAGCTTGCACAAGAAACAACAGAGGGTGCAAAAGATATGATGAGAACAGAACCAGTGAACTGGGCAAGGGCATATTTTGCAGTTGGTTCCAAATGTGAGTCAGTGGATAACAACTTGTGTGAATCATTCAATCATGTAATTGTGGATGCAAGGTTTTATCCAATAATTTCCATGCTAGAGAAAATAAGGAAGAAAATGTTTGCTAGAATTCAAGAACAGAGGGCCAAAGGTGTGAAATTTCATGGAAAACTATGCCCTAGCATATTCAGAAAAGTTGAAAGCCAGCATAGCAAGAACACAGTTCATGGAGGTCCTTTGGAATGGCAAAGATGGGTTTTAAGTGAGACTGGTAACTGGGAGAAGAAGGCAATACACTGTAAGTCTTGAAAAAAGAACTTGTTCTTGTGGTTATTTCCAACTTTTAGCTCTTCCTTGTTCTCATGCCATCACTGCAATATACAAGTGTGGGAAACAAGTGGAAGATTACATTGATCCTTGCTATAACATTGACACATTCATGAGCATCTATGAGCATTGCTTGGAACCTGTGGAAGGTGAGGAGATGTGGCCTATTTCTGAAAAACCTAGGCCAGAAGCTCCTGATTATGTTAAAGTTAGAATGCCAGGCAGGCCCAAGAAGAATGCTAGGAGGAGGGAAGACCATGAGAAACCAGTTGGCAAAAAAATGAGCAAACATGGCACTGTAATTGTTTGTTCAATGTGTGGCACTGCAGGCCACAACAAATCCGGTTGCAAGAAGAATCCAGAGAAGGGCAAGAAAAAAAATGCACATCTTGTGAAGGCAGCCAAGAAAAGAAAAAGCACTGAGGTAATTTTAGATGAGTTTATTACCTGTGAATTAATATGGTTGCTTATTAGTAATTTACCTTGCCTTCAAATAATTTTAGTTGAGTTTAGTAGCTGTCAATTAATACATGAATGTACTGCAGGCTGGTACTACACAAGCTGGAAGTGCACCTACTTCTCAACCAGCAGCAAGATCAGCCCCAACTTGTGGAACTGCTTCAAAGTTTAAACCTCCCAGGAAAACAACTCCAACTGCACAAGCTAGAACATCTGCTGGCAACAAAAGGAGGAAGAGAGCTGCAGCATCTTCACTGCCAAGCTATAAGTACTTCAATGCTAGTGGCAATGAGTAGAGCATGTCTTCTATGCTAGTGACCATGTAATGAAAACTAGCTTTTGGTGATCATAGATCATTTCCTGTTAGTATGCACTGAACTATGTGCTTGTCATGATCATAGATCATTTCCTGTTGCAAACATTTGAATCCTTTTGGTGTTGTTGCAAACTGGATGATTATGTCTGAAATGAAAATGCCTGAAATATTTGGTCATTTGTCAACAGATCATGCTCCTGTCAACACATTATTCCTGCAACATATGCAATATTTGGTCATTTATCAACATATCCAGTTTTGTGTTGTTGCAAAGATGCTCCTGCCAACATATCATGTCATAAATTTGGTCATTTGTCAACAAAACTATGCTCATTATTCAAGATAGGAAATCAACCAACAAGGCAAATGCACAAACTGGATGATAATGCCACATACTTCATAACTAGGATCAACATAGATCAATATATCATACATAGTTCCAGCCACATTGGATTGGAAATCAACCAACAACATAGATCAACATAGTTCCAGCAACAACTGACACTAACCAACCATTCTCCTTCTCCATACAAAGACCAACCTGACCACATATTCAGTGCACTAGAAATTTCCCTAGCACTAAACCTAGCACAAAGACAACAAACACAACCAGAATTGTCTTATATTTGGTCTTCACTGCATCTGCCTCAGCACTTTTTTCTTTCAACTGTTCCTGCAGAGCCAGAATCACACTTTCTGTCATTGTTTGCTCTTCAACTGCATCTTCAGTCCTAGCACCCTTCAGTCTCCAAACTTCATCTCTTAAATCTCCAATCAAATCAGAAAAAACTTGGGCAGTGGATCATCATGCCACTCAATAAACCGACAACCACCATTCTATCAAAATGAACACAAAGGAATGTATCAGATTTACTAAGCAATGGCAGAAGAAAGGGACTTGCAGATGGAAAATGGAGGGGGAAATGGAGCTCACCAGCGCATGGACGCAAGCGTAGTACCTCCTGCCGGGGTTCTGCCGGCTCCATGATATCCACCTCGGCGCCTTCCTTGGCGGATTGCAATGGCAGAGCTTCGGCGGCTCGTAATCCATGGCGCCCTCGCGGTATGGAATCGGCGACCTTGTCTCAGCCTCCCTCCTTCCGCTAGCTCGACGGAATCCGGGAGCGAAAGATGACCCTGAGAACCCCGACATCGCACCCTGCCCCCCGGCGCCACCGCACTGCGCCCCGCTCAGATCGCCGCCCCCTCGCCTCTGTCCTCGCCGTGAACCTAACAACAGCTCAGATTCCCCTCTCTTTATCCACCTATCCGTGGCCCACAAGTCAGAATCCTGGTGAAATCCCTGCCACGTCAGCAAATTAGCTCTAAAACGGTCTCAGGGTTTAATTTAGACCGGGATTAGTGAGTTGAGTGTGCTCATTTCAGAGATTAGGAGTTCAGGGTTCCATTTAGCTTTTCTCCACGAGTTCAGGGTTTGTTTTAGACTTTTTCCATTTTTTTTGGGGAAACAGTCGCACCGTTTCCAGTCATTCTGAACCAGCGGCCGAATTCTCTCCACACTCCCGATGTCCCGAGTCCCCGAGAGAGCAAGAAACGGAAACCCCATTCCCCCCTCCCCTCCACACTCCCGATGTCCCGAGTCCCGAGTCCCCGAGAGAGCAAGGAAACGGAAACCCCATTCTTCCCCCCACCCCTCCGTACTCCAGAAGTCCAGATCGATCCCAATGGCGTCGTCCACGCTTCGCTGCCTTCCAGGCGACATCCCGCCGACGACGCTGCTCACCCTACCAGAGGAGATGCTCGAGGAAATCCTCCTCTGCCTCTCCGACGCCGCCGACCTCGTCCGCGCCTCCATGGCCCGCGTCTCCATCCGCCGCCTCGTCACCAATCACCGATTCCTCCGCCGCTTCCGCACTCGCCACCCGCCGCCTCTACTGGGCATCGTTTCTCCCTATCCCCTGCACCGGTGGGACCGGCCGCTGCTGAATCTGGCCCAGCCGCCGCACCCCTCCGCCGCCGCCGCGAGCGCTTTTTCTGGGCTTGACGCCGCCGACTTCTCGTGCACCTTCCTCCCCAACGCCGCGCGCTGGCGGCGCGACTTGCGGGACGGCCGCGTCCTCCTTTCCGGCCTCCCAAAGGGAACCAAATTCAACAGCCACGCCTTTGTCAGGGACCTGGCTGTCTCTGACCCCCTGTCCCGGCGGTACATACTGCTACCTCCCATCCCCGACGACCTAGCCGCCTTGGTGCAGCCGCCGGACTTGGTGCGATTCGATCCCTTCCTTGCTCCTCCGGTCGCCGAGGATGAGGATGGCATGTCTTTCAGAGTTATTTGCTTGGCGCATTGCACAACCAAGCTGGTCCTCCTCATCTTCTCTTCAAGTGCTGGACAGTGGCATCCTGTTACACTTGAAAATTGGATCGGTTTGCTCACAGGATCAGACAACCCGGCTCCAGGCAACCATCAAGACTTGTACTGGTTGCCGCGAATGCGCCACTATGCACACGGATATTTCTGTTGGGCATTTTACGCAAAGGGATCCATGTATCCGGTGAGCAAGTTGCTGATGCTCGACACACAGAGCATGGGTTTCTCTGCAGTCGACCTTCCGCCTCTCACCGATAACACACGGGTTATCATTCTGGAGGCAGAGAATGGAAGGATTGGGATGTATATGAATGAGAATTTGACAGCTGAACTAAGGTATTATGTGTTACAAAATGATGGAGTTGGTGAAAACCAGTGGCTGCAAAAGGAAACGCTCACTTTAAATGATCGCTATATGCTCATTGGCGTAGCGGGGGGATACTTACTTCTACAAGGGCTTCGACAAGACCAATATCCTTTTTTTTTGGTTTCATTGGATCTGAAGACTTTGGAGCTTGAGTGGTTCCTTGCATCAAGGCACACCAACGTGGGTGCTCGTTTGTTTGCCAGTTTCCCACCATCATTGTCTCCCCCAACTCTTCGACATGGTAACCTTCCTCTCTGTATTTGCATACTTGTACTTTGCAGTCCATATTGCGATATTAATATATTATGCAGGTATTAGTAGTGGGTTATGTCATTAATAATTGTTTTAGCAAGTTGTTATCCATGCAATTGAAAAGCTGTGGAACTTAGGAGATCAGGAAGTACTAGATGAGTAGGCCGTTTCGCCACACTGGCTGTCGTTGGCGCTGGTAGCTTACGACGGAGCAAGTAGCTTGAAATTTTTTAACACCAACTACATACACAGACATGGGCACACACTAGACATGGGCACATTGACGCCAATGATTATGAGTCTAACCACTAGTCTTGACTAGTCGGGCGACTAGTCTAGTAGTCTCAATCTGATTGTCAACTAGCTTCTTCGCATGACTAGCTCGTTGAGTTGAGCGGTGGAGTGACTAGTCATCGACTATTCCAGACTAGTCTGGGTGTTTGAGTCGATCAACTCAATTTGGGAGGGATAAGTGAGCAGCTCTCAACCCGTGGGAGGGAAAAGTTGCAACCCTAGCTTTCCAGGCTCGCTCCACAACGAGCCGCCTCACCTGGGACTAGGCCGCCGCCACCGCCCGTTAACCCGCTGCCGCTGCTGCCACCCACCACCGCCGCCAGCAGCGGCCAGGAGCATTACGATGCTTGCCCTCCACTGGTTCTGCTCCTCCCCTGGATCCACCCCTCTGCTGTCGTGCTCATCCCCTTGCTGTTCTCCTGTGTTGCTGTGATCCTCCTCTGGATCAACTCAATTTTATTGTATATTGTACAGTAATATATAGTATATACTACCACATGCTAGGTATCAGTAATTGAGTACTGTAAGTTGAGTACTACAGTACCATGTCAACTAGTCGAGCAGTAGTCTAGACTAGTCACGATTAGGCTATGAGTCTCAACCTCCGCTTGACTCGTCGACTCCTCTGACTCATAATTCTTGACTGACACAGAGCCAAAGAGGTTTAACAGCTAAGGTTGCTTGAATAATTGATAGGTACAGAAGAGAACTAAAAAAGCACTCCCTATTTGCATATCCCAGTTCCTTTGCATAATTCTTATGTTGCTGCTTCTCTACAGAAGTGGTGTGCCATATTATGTGAGCTGCACTGAATAATATTATATCACAAATCTAAGCAAATGAACATATGGAACTTTTGCACAATGAGAATGTGCATAACCATGCTCTTATCCAAGTCCGAAGCATCCTAATATTCGTCGTTGTTCACATGAAACAGAATATCACAAGAAAGAGGAAGCATGATATGGAACATGCTTTCCATAATTATCTGTAGACAGAAAAAAAAATCAAATTTATTCATATGTGTTCTTTTTAAGGCGGTAATAAAAGAGCCAAAGGATAGATGCTTAACTAAGACGGTGGTTTTTAATGACACGTAGTTCCCCTACCTTCATTTTCCTATCTTTTGTCCTTGGTGTTCCTGACTTCTGGAGTTGCGCTTCCCTCTCCACCACATTCCCTGTAATTGTTACAGTTCTTTTTGCCATCAGTGATGTGGCTTAATGGAAATTGATCAGGTGTGATAAGGACTTCCGTAGACCTATAAAAAGAACCTGGCAGATCAAAACTAAATTGTTTTCATGGCTGAATTAAGAATGTAGTGTTAGCAGGGGCAAAGGAAAAACATGTTATCTTGAAAGGTGACTTTCATCCATGTCTCTTTAATGTATTACATCACATATACCTGGAAACATTCCATTCAAGTCTTAGTCACTTAGCAATGTCTCAGAAAAATATCAATCATGCAGCAACTGACTGCATTGGCTTCAATTCCAATTGGTGCAGAAAAGTAAACTAACACTTGTAGCCCTTTTTTTTGCGATGACACTTGTAGCTAATGTTGCATGCCAAAAATACTGTTGAGAAAACGTAGTAGAGACATTTCAAAAATAATAAACTTAGAGATCGCCTACAATTATAAAATGTAGCATGTGTATGACCACATAAAAGGTAAGTAAACTCTACCCAGGGAATCCTTAATGAGCTGAAAATGCATCAAACCGCATTAGAACCAAGCCTTCAAAGTTCGAAATCATGGTAAATTTCTAAACTGTTCGTTCAACATATTCAACCTCCTATCTTATTTATTTTCTTACATACAGTTTTCTTCTTGCATGACTATGGCACATAATACATATATTTCCATCTAAAGCTACTGATACAGTGACACCATACTGAAATGACTGGACACAACATGATATAGAAGTATTCAAACACAATAAGAAACAAAATATATTACTTTTTTATGCAAGAGAATAGCATTAGCCAAAAAAGTTTGAACAATTATGACATGATAAATTTGTGGAATCTATATATTTTTCATCTCTCTAATTTATAGATAAAACAATATTCCTTAGCACACACTACTCCATGAGTGCTGAAATACTTGCAAGCATATATTTAGGTAAAATAATCTTACTGCTCTATGCTATACAGGTTTGTTGTATGCAAATAGAAGTACCAATTGATTCCATGATTCCTTAATCTTACAGCAGAGACAACAAGCTAGTATTGTAACATGAAAATAGGATTGTCAAGAATGCTCCATCATTTTTGTTTATAATTTGACTACTCTGTTCAGCTCCTCGCACTTGTCAGTCTCATGTGCAAGGCTTCCCCACCTGGCCAATCAATTTTGTTCTTATACATATTATCTGACTAAAAAATGAAGGATAGTGCAAACATATTTTCATGCTATTCCTGACTCTAAATTTAGCTCGTACATTCTGATCACGTCAATAATTTATGTTTCCTAATTATCCCACAAAATGCCAGATCCCGGAAGCTCTTGAACAAACAATGAAACCAAAATTCAAAGCATCAGAACAGTAAAATTCTACGAAATCCCATGATGGCAAAATACCCAAGTCTCTTGAATGCTCCCAATTCTAGAATTCATGTCCTAAACTGTCGGTGGATTGGAAAACGGGGTTCCCGGGCACACCTAAATGGGCCTCCCAAAAAATTATTTCCACAACGTAAGTAAGTTAAGTTGTGGCCTATGTTGGAGAAGCTTGGTCTCGTCCAGTCTTGCTACGATCCAATCAAGCAAATCATAAATCATCCAAAAAGAGTAGAAGAGATACTCCGAGCACGACACCTGGCATGGCTAAAAGAGCGGTGGCATCGCGATGCGTTCCCGAACACCACGAGGCTCTCAAGCATGGCCAAAGCCTCTGAGCATGGTTACCCCGGGCTCAAGCAGCTGGGTCAGGCAAGGCGAATTTGCCCACAGTGCATTTAATGCGAAGCAGGGGCATGGCTGATCAGGCATTAAATGCCAGGCAAGCTATCGACTGTAGCCCACCACAGGCTACGTAATTTAAGGGAATGATGACGCTTTCGCAGGCGGTATCATGATTCCGTGCTCGATAAGGGGGGCAGCTGAGCTGACTGACACAACTACACAGGGCCACTTTTTGACCAAGGCTTTGACGCCTTGACAAGAGCTGCAGCCTCCATCGATTATCAGACGCTGACGGGTGGAGCGCAGAATGTCGACCGCGACCAGGTCAATCTCTTGACTAGAGATACACAGGATTCGGGCAATTGTTTACCTGCCACTCATGCCGAACTCCGCGGTGGACGCATGAGCAACGAAGGCTATTATAACCTTTTACCTTTTTAGTTAAGGAGCCATTGTAGCTCCTCCCGAACTCTATATAAGGGCATAACTCTATATAAGGGCAGGACCGTGGGTAGTAGAAGGGGACCGACCCCAAGAATTTGATAGCTAGGTTTTAGAGAAGAAGCTAGAGAGAGGAAGAAGAGAAGGGTGCTTGGGGCAGCTAGAAGCCCACCCGAGTACTACCAAAACTAGCTTAAAGAAGAAGCTAGAGAGAGAAAGAAGAGAAGGGTGCTCGGGGCAACTAGAAGCCCATCCGAGCACTACGAAAACTAGCTGCGAGCACAAGCTTGTAGTTCATTTGTACAGTGGATTGCCAGACTTTTCCCTTTTTATTGTACCAACCAGATCGGTTCCTAGTATAAGCAAGGAGCCATTCAAGTACCTGATGGTAGGGTGACCGTGCGCGCATTCCGCTTTGAGCACCACCAAGCCTCAGGGTGCTTATGGTCTTTCTTGCTCTTACTCTAAGCCCGTCTAGTTGGCTCAGTTTGGTGGAAGAGCCTTTTTTGCCAAACAAGTGTTTCTAAAAATGTCTTTTAAGAATACAGGTAGTAAACATGATGGAAGCCCAAAAAGGAAATGCGACCATTCTCGGAAGGACTAGGATTGGCGTCCGAGACTGCTCGGAAGCTAAGCTTTTGCTCTCTCGTCTAATAAAAACTTGTGCTTCTTCTCAATACTCTCGTTTTGGTATTGGATCAAAATTGACACATTTCCCGTCCATTCTTGGGATAAACGGCTAGCTTCTTGACAAGTGTTGGGCCTGCGCAAAGTACCTCACTGCCTGGCTCATACGTATCCAGAAGCAAAATTAGTCCTACACATAAATCGTGCCCCTTGAGGCAGCCTCGAACCCATTCGAGCACCTCTTTGCTAGCATAAACATGTATGGAGTACCCGAAAATATGGAGATTAAAAATGCCAAGGAGAAAATCCAAACCAAAACGGAGAGAAAACATAGGCAAAAGATACTTGAAGCATAAAGTGTAGGGTAAATTTTTTCCCTGCATCAGGTGCCAGGGGCGACAGTACAACAGTACAGACGAACTTAAACAAGTTTCCTTACAAAGGTATAGTGGCTCTGAACCAAAGCAAAAGGAGGCAAGCAGAGACAAAATTACTCCTCGGCGTCGCTGGCTTCTGGGACATCATCGTTGTTACTGGCGGCTTGGATAGTGGTTGCGGCCTCCTACGGTGCCACTTGCCACAACAGCGAAGTTCAGGGTACACGCAAATGGCCACTTCTCAGGATGCGCTGTGGATGAAGGCGCGCGCCTTGTGGCCAGCGTCGTTCTCTTCTTCGACCCCTTCTAGGACAAGTTTCAGCAAATAAGAGTTGTCACTGCTGGAGTAGCACGTGAGCATGTACAAAGCAACTTGTTGCGCCACATCATGCCCCTCCTCCATCAAGACCTCATCCAGATGCTTCACCAGCTTCTCGGCAATTCCCCCGAGAACGCAACCATATTGCCCATGACTCCGTTGCCAGGGGGCTGAGGACGTCAACAGGGATCTTGACCTCCCTTACGACCTCGTGCAGGCGCTTTAAGTTGGCCTTAGGCATCTTGGCCTGCTGTTTCTGCGCAGTAGTGACCCTTGTGCATTCGTTTTTGGCCACCTCGTGCTCTTTCGCAAAGAAGTCTTCTCGGGACTTGGTGAGATTCTCATCCAAATCTTGGATTTTGCACCGCAGATCTTTAAACAGTCTAGGCAGAGGTGGCGAGATCGTCCTCCAACTTCTTGGTACGCTTGTCGGCTGTGTCGCCCTCCTTCGCCTGTGCCTTGTACTAGGAAGCGAGGGCCCGACAAGCGTCCTTGATCTGGGCCTCCGCCCAAATGTCCACCTAACTTTGACGGTGCAGGAAGGCCTGTTCGGCCCCGGCCAAATCAGCCTCTCGGGTGGCAAGTTCTGCCTCCTCCCCGCTCACCTTGAGCTCGCAGAAAGCGATCTGCGCTCAGTGTTTCTTGAGGTCGGCTTCATGTTTGGCGAGCCTCTTCTCCTTCACAGTTGAGTGGGCTTCAAGGATAGCTTCAAGGTTGGCAAAGGCGGTATCCCGGATAGCAACAGCAGCTTCGCGGTTGGCAAGGGCAGTTTCACGAGCATCCATCTCCTCGGTGCGGCGCGCGATGTCCTCTTCAAGCTGCTTGCGCAGCTCCTCTGGGTGCTCGCTCTTTGCACGGTACGCTTCATTAGTGCGGCGGCCGCCACCATTCTCTACTTGTTTGCGCAAAGCCTCTAGGCACTCACGCTCAGCTCGAACTGCCGTGGCTTTTGCCTCAATGGAACCAGCGCATTCTTGAATATTCTTCTCGGCGGCAGCAAGTACAGCAACACGTTCTTCAAGCTCTGCCTCGTGGGAGGCGTAATACTCTGCCACATCTTCCAGCATTTTCTGTGCGGAGGCAATGCTCTGAGGCATTTTCCAGCATTTTATGTGCAGAGGCAGCGCCTCCATGAGCAAAGAAGGCTACTGACCGTGGCCACTAGAAGGGGACCGATCCCAAGAACTTGATAGCTAGCTTTTAGAGAAGAAGCTAGAGATAGGAAGAAGAGAATGGTGCTCGGGGCAGCTAGAGGCCCACCCGAGCACTACCAAAACTAGCTGAGAGCACTCAGCTCAAGCTTGTAGTTCATTGTACATCATCCATCAAACACATATAAAATAGGGTATTACACCTACGTGTGTCCTCAATCTGGGTAACTGCTCGTGTCATTAGTTCTTAGAAAGCCGCAAGAAGCTGTGAATGGTTTAGCCCCTGCCCGAACAACTAAAAGGGGGTCTCTCTGATCCCCGATCTCGATGATCACACGTCAGACATAAACTATCAGCTGTGCGTGGCGGTTGTGGGGATGGCGCCAGAGAGGCGGGCAGGCAGGAAAGGTAGAGGGAGGTAACTGAAACCAAAGCGTCCAAGTCAGGTTAGCGGTGTCACTGCCGGCGTCGGTGGAGCTGCTTCTGATTGTCGCGCTGGAAGCGCTCTCTCTGCTTGCCGGCTCAGCTCGGGCGGCGGAGTGGCTGTCACACTGCTCGTCCTCCTGGTCTGTTGGGGATGTACGGAGGATGGTGAACAGTAAGGGCGGTGGAGGTGACGGGACACATCCAAGCCGACCCTGGAGGTACTGTTGCTAGCGTTGGTGGAATCGCACTGCTACTGCTTGCGTGCGCTCGATCTTGTTGTCCGCTGGCTCCACGCACAGGCCTCAGCGCCGCCACACGGCATGGAAGGTGTACTTAGGGCGAGGCCGCGGCAGAGGTGACGGAGCAGAGATGGAAGAGTGACAGCAGATGTGGATTGCTCGGTCTTTGTTCGAGAAGATGTACTATGTTAGCCAGGCATTAACTTGGAAGTTATTTTGAGATATACTCGTCATTATTTTTGAGACTATCGTAAGAATAAAGTAAAGTAGAACCATAATGTTCTATTATGCCGGATTTGGACTTGTATTAGCTACTTTCTTTGAAGTTATTTTGCCCTGTACCTTTGCATGATTGTACTGGTCATTATCATTCCCAATTGATTACATTTCTTTCTATCTTTGTAACAATAAATTATATTGCTTAAAGCACCCAGTATTTTTCTTAATTAATGTTGATTCAGATATGACTGATGCCTCCATTTCTAATTCAGATATCTGATATTGATGCCGCTGGGAGAAGAACCTTGACGTCTGGAGGTATCGAGCAGCAACTTGCAGCATTATGTACCGGATGGAATCATCAGGCTTTCCTTTTGAGACGGACGCAGGCTTGTTTGCGGTGCTGACTGTTGTGCAGCTCGGTGCTTATTTTCAGATATGTCATGGGAGAATAGTTGTGATAATCTACCAAAATTGATTCACAAATCAAATATTACTAGACAATTTCTATTTTCTGGAACCTTTGTTCGTGTCAGATATGCAAATGTGACTCGAAGCAGATTATGACTTGAGGCAGAGTAATATATACATTTATACAAATCGGTTCTACTATCTCTGTTGCTTTTTGTAAGAAGTTGCGCAAGAGATGCACATGACTTCGTACAAACTGGACTATATTTACTGCAAAAAGAATCAGGTGGCATTTGTTGCACCGTCCAACGCCGGCAACGGCAACAGGTTTGTTGCCGCGAGGTTGACGTTGAGGTTTGTCACTTCTGCAAATAGGAACAGGCTGTCTGCGCTCGACCTCGCCACCGACGGCGATTATCGGGGCCTGACACCTTCTCCGCAATCTGCGAGAAGTTGAGGAACGTCTGTCTGAGCGCAGTTCCTTGGGCGGATTCGTGTGGCCAGGAAGTTGGGTCACCAAACTTCAGGACTAGCACCTGCACCTCTAAGTCCATTGAAGAGGGGTTGAGATCCTCTACAGTACTGCACCCTGCTGTAGTGCAGAGGATCCTAACCAACTTTTTTTTCTTTGAAATTTATCTATTTCATTAATCAGAGCACCTCTAGTCCATTCCATCAGTGTTAATTTTCAGCTAGTCATCTGCAGGCGGTGTCCAGACAGACAGGTGCAGGTTTCAGCTGCTGCTTCATATCCTTTCGTCCCGGTGATTCACAGTCTAGCATCTGTTTACTGATCATGATATGACAAACAGCCTCTGGTGATCTTCGTGGTTTGCCAGCGTTTACGTCGTTCCGCGTCGTTCCGTGATCACAGAGGAGCTTGGTCTCTTCCTTCATACTCCTAGAAAGCACTGACTGTATCAAACCATATCCCGCGCGCTAGGACGCTGGCTGAGCTCAACTCTTGTCTGCTACTGTAATCTTTTCTCCGGTATCAATTGACCTTTTTGTAGCAACTGACCCTTCAGCCTGATCCTCATCAGAGGAGATAGAAATCACATCAGTGTTACCCAGTTGTTCCATCGGTGACTAATCTAGTCGCTCCCCCTGATGTGCAACACCATTACCCTGCTTTCGTGAATACAACTTGAGCTGCTCCTCTTGCTCTGTTGTCCATCTCGGCGCACTACCAATCTGAGTCGGTGCAACACCATCACCTTGCTTTCGCGAATAGACCTTTAGCTGCTCCTCTTGCTCTGTTGTCCACCTCGGCAAACTGCCAGGCATGCTACCAATTTGAGCCGGTGCAGTGTTGGTCGATGCTTTTGTCACATGAGTCACGTGAGCTAATGTTCGACTACTCTCTCCCTCTTGATCAGTTTCACCAAGTTGAGATTGGCCAAGGCTTTCAATCGGGTTAGTTTTCTCACCATAGAAAGGTTCTGATTCACGGACTGTAACATCCATGCTCACAAATGTCCTCCTCTCAGACGGACTCCGGCATTTTGTACCCCCTTTGTCCTAAAGAATACCCAATACAGATGCACTTGACTACCCTAGGATTCAGTTTGTTTACTATGGCCTATGATCACGAACAAAACAAGTACAACTGAACACCTTGGGAAAAACTAGAAATTTATTTTCTGTGAATATCGACTCACATGGTGATTTCATACTTGTCAGCCGGGATGGCGTGCGGTTGATCAACAAGATGGCCATCATGACAACTTGACTCCAGAAGAACTTGGGCCATTCATGGTCAAGACACCATGTAGGACAACTACGCAATCATCTTTTTATCTTGAGTGGCGACAACACAATACAAGCCTTTTCCACTTTCTATCATTGCGGTAAATCTTGCAAGGTTGAACCCAACTATCAGACACAACTCCCTCTTGGAGATCAAACCTCAAACTTGTCGAAAGAAAGAAGAATAGATCAGAGAGCATATATGAATAATAATTATGCATCGAAGAAACAAGATATATCTCAAAAAGATTCGTGAATACGTCTGATCATAAAGTGGTAATTCATCGTATCCCAACAAACACACCAACAAATTATATTAGATGGATCAGACAGCTCAAGTGATCTTTGTATTGAGAAGCAAAAAGAGAGAAAACCATCTAGCTATTGTTATGGACCCATAGTCCAAAGAAAATTACTCATAGATGATCATGGTGGCCTTCATGTTGATGGAGATGGACAATTAACGTGAAGAATTTCCCCTCTGGCAGAGCTCCGAAAAAGCCTCCAGATTGATTGTCATGAAATACAGGTGTGCGTCGGCAGAAAAGTTAGGGTTAAAAAATCGTCGGAGGTTTTAGGTACATATAGAGGCACATGGACCGAGAGGCGATGGAATGGAGCACCAGGGGGCAAGCCTGGCCCACCCTGGCTGCATGGAGGGGGCGTGTGGGGCCTGTGGGTGGCCCATGTCCTATGTCGGTTGCTACAAGAAGCTTCTGGATGGTAAACTTCTCCTGTCTTTTTTTTGGATTTTTTTGAACCTGCTAAAATTGATTTTCATGAAAATACAAAAGCATGCAGAAACAATAACTAGCATTGGATACCGAATTAATAGGTTAGGTTCAAAAAATAATATAAATTGGTGCCAAAACTATACCAAAATTATATAACATGACATGGAACAATAATTTTTTTAGATACGTTTGAGATATATCAGGCATAAGCGAGATTTGGGGGGGGGGGGGTCCCATCTTTGCTAGTGTATTGGAGAAGATGATTGATTCCGCCACCGCCATCCATTACGACTTTGGGAAGGCAACAACTAGCACCGACGATCGGATCTAATACCAGGGTGAGTCTCCGTGGGTGAGGAATGTATTCCCAGTGATCGGAATGAAGATAATGGTGGAGTCAGATCACATCAGGCATTTTTTGTGGGCGAGCGCAGTGCGTGTGAGCTTCTGGGCTAATCGTGTATCAGGAACTCAGAAGATCATATGTACTCCTCGCGTTAGATCGGGCTGGTGGGCTGTTGAAGATCCAACCGTCCTAGATTTTTCTGAGATCGGCACTACTCCATGTGTTAGTGAATATGGCGGGACATGGAGTCATATGGCGTCAATGTACCGGTCAAAGCACTAAAAAAATAGACTTCCGTGATGATACGTGTTTGTCACGGTAGGTCATGTTTTCTGTCATGCATGTACATCCATGACGATTTTATGACAGAATTAAGATAGTCATACTTGTGATGTCGTAGAAGTGTTCCATGACATTACCAAAATTATCATCACGGAAGTGTCCACTTCCATGACGATAAATCGCGCGTCACAGAAATGCTTTCATCAAGGGTGACCGACATGTGGCATCCACCGTAACGGAACGCCGTTAAGCTATCTGGCCCGGTTTTGGATCCGATAACCCGTTAACAGCCCGGACCAATGGGGATTTTCCACGTGTAAAATCATCATTGGCTGGAGGAAACACGTGTTAGCTCCGCATTGGCACAGGTGTCACTGATCCAATGGGCGAGATGCGCCTATGATATGTTGACACATGGACCGACCCAAAAGTGACCCATAAAGTTTAAATGGGCCGGCCAAATTAAAGGCCCACAAAATTTTGCAGTCCATAATAGGCCGGCCCAGCTAAAGGCCCACGATATTTTGTGGACCATAATGGGCTAGCCCAGCTAAAGGCCCATAAAATTTTGCAGACCATAATGGGCCGGCCCAGCTAAATGCCCACAAGATTTTGCCGACCATAATGGGCCAGCCCAGCTAAAGGCCCACAAGATTTCGCCGATCATAATGAGCCGGCCTAGCTGAAGGCCCACAAGATTTTAAGGACACTAGTAGGCCGACCCATTAACAGGCTACCATGTTTTGGGCCAAATGCCGACCCATATTTGATCCGGTCCATTAACAGCCTGCCATGTTCTGGGCCTAATAAAGGCCCATATGAGATCTGGCCCGTTAAAAGCCTACCACGTTCTTGGGCCAAATTACGGCCCAGATCAGGTCCGGCCCTTTAAGAGGCTTTGGGCTAAATCATGGCCCATATCAGATTCGGCCCGTCAACTAGACGCTATGCTTTTGGGCCCACTTGCTAAAGGCTCATTTAGTAATTCGACCTGATATTAGTTTCGGCCTGTTAAAGGCTCGTTTAACATTTCGGCACTCTATTTATTTCGGCCTATTAAAAGCCCGTCATATAGTTGGGCCTAACTACGGCCCGGTTTGCATCCGGCCTGCTCACAGCCGATAATCTGATTGGGCCAAATAAGTACCAAGACAATTTTGGCCTGTTAAAAGCCCGTGATTTGATTGGTACAATCATTGGTCGGGGTCTATTTCTGCCTGCTGCCGGCCCGTGAGCTGTTCGGCACGTTTCAGGCCCAACCTACTTCATAGCCTCCTAAAAGTCCATTGAGTTTTCTTGCAAAAATAGGACCGGCGGTTTACTCGGCCTATTAAAGGCCCGAATCTACTAGTGAACCATTTTACATTTAGGCATGTTAACGGACGAAGATGACGGGGCCCATGATGCGGATCATACATAGTGATTTGTGTGACGGCCCGATTATGTACAGTAATTTTACGGTTCAGCCGGTTTATTGCGAAGACAGGATATATATACAGTAAAATAACTGCAGCATTGTGAATAAGAAAAAACTTAGACTATACAATAAGGAAATTACGGCATATTACATCCACTGGGCATCAAAATTTGCCACTATGATAATAAAGCACAAGTAGACAGCAGATTACATACACTGGGCATCAAAGATCGCCACTATTGCAAATAAATACGCCGACAAAATAATATACAAAACCGACAACACTTCAATAAAGTTCAAGAAAGGTTAGCCCTGCTAAGGAGCTGCAGCGCAAGCAGCTG